CCTCTTCTTCCTGATGAATTTGATGATTTGACGGTGCAGTAAGAGGCTTGAGAGAGATCTATGAAAAATAACCTGATATTTAGACTCAACCTCACATAGAGGATGTATAATGGGAAAAAATTGTCACAAGCAACACGTCACAATTTATTGTCACTAAATGCTTATTAAGTTTAATGTCAAATTAAACCCTAATTAAACAATCACACAAATTAGATCATAGCAATAAAGATAAAAAATAATAAAAAAATAAACCAACACAAGAAATTGGTAACAAAGGAAAATTCCTTGAAAAACTCTTCACAGGGTTCAAAAACCTCCAAGCAACCTTGCCAAAATAACCCATTAGAAAAAGTAACTTACAGTTAGTCAATACATAACTAAATCTTAGTAGACTCTAACCACTCAATCTGTAAATCATTAAAGAACACTTCAATTTGCGACCCGAACTTTTTAACAACTCTGGACTTCTTTTTCTTCCACGTGGATCGCCAAGAATGAACTCGTTTCAGAATAATTGGAACTCCAGCGCATCTTCCCAACTTCGGAACTCTAAAAGCTTATTGAAATAGGTAAGAGTTTTTGGTGTTTGATCTTTGAATTTATGTTTTGATCTTGTGGTTGAATCAAGATATTATTGGAATTGATGTTTGATCTCTGCAGGATATTCTCTTGACTGAATAATAGCTCAACCATATTAGCAAAGATAGTTTGTGATGAATTTTGGCTTGGGCATATATAGTATGAAGTGTTTGAGGCAGTTTAGAATTGTAAAAACTGTTCAAAATTGCGAACTAGGTTCATCCAGACAACTGTGGTGCTCAAGTAGACTACCTTGATGCTAGCGAGTGGAAGGTCTATCGCTCGAGCACGAAGCTCGTGGTTATAGAGAGGCTATGTCCCTATTTTTCAACATTCGAGCGCTCCTTTAGCGGCCAACAAGTATTTTTGCACCTATTTTTTCTGCTTGGTCCATTTTTGATATCTTTGACTCCTTCAAGACCCATACTACCAACCTCGATACTTTGATTTTAATTACCACTCAATAACTCATGATTTTAGAAACAAGATTTGCCAATTAAAATTTTGGATCTAACGCTTTAATGGATGCCTGTGTCATGTATTATATAAGGTGAAATTAAGTCAAGAAAAACATACAAATTGGGTTCCACAAGAGTTCTAATCAAATGAGGAAAGTAACATTCTCATCAACATGGCTATGTCTCTACACGATCACTAGTAATGTTGTCATAAATTTCTCTCTTAATATCTAATCGAGCTTATTCAAATTACGTTGGGGAGCTAACTCAAAGAACCACAATTATAAATAGTATTTTCCCATTCGAACTTTTACTATGTGAAAAAAAAGGGGTCTCAATCTTTAACTAAAAATATGAGCTTGTGTGGTAGAAAATTAATTTGTGAAAATACTTTAATTGCATCTAATTGATCCTATACAATCTTTAATCATCATTTTATGGTTCGACTATTGAATGTTTGCATTTTGATTCTCGAACTTTGAATTTCTTTTGTTTCGCTCATTTCTTGTTCCTTTCTTCCAATTCCACCAATTTACATTGAGTTTAATATGAAAAAAAAATAATTAAAACATAATTAAACTGTAATTTATCCAAATCACTAACAATACTCAAATTTAATGGCCTAAATAAGTGTACAAAATACACTTATTAAATACTATCAAGCTTAAACATTTTTTTATGCTCAAACAAAACTATAATTTAACTTTATTGTTATCTATTCCAATTCTCAATTACGTAATTTAGTTTCGTTCACGCATTCTTGACAACTGATAAAATTAAGGCATTTAACTTTTTATAAGATAAGTTAATTCTATTCTAATCATGAATCGAGTTTATTTCTAGTACGAATTCAAATGATTAGAACACATTAAATTTTAGATTTTCTATATGATTGCACACGGTATAATGTTGCGAGTCCCTCAACACTACAATATGCAACTAATTATCTAATTAATTCCAAGCGGTTAACTAGTACAATGAGAATGTAAAATTAATCAAGAAAAGCACGAAATAATAAACTATTAGTTTTGAATTAAAATGAATAAACAATGGAGTTCATGTTCAAATAATAAAAAAGGATCTAGCCTAATTTGATTTTGTATAAATTACAAAAAGAATTTTATAAACCACCCGGATCATGAAATAAATCAAATGATATTGATCTTCAAGTTCAACGTTGAAATCTTTAATTTCTTAATATAATTGGCTTTCAATTTTTGCTAGGGTTTGATCTCCTCTATCAAAATATAACAATTGACCTCCTTTTCTTAATAAATTTGATGATTTGAATGTGTATTAAGAGGCAAGAGAGCGCCTGCCCATGTCTTGTATTATATAGGTGAAAGTAGGCCAAGAAAATCGTTCAAATTGGATTCTAAAAGAATTCCAGTCAAGTGAGAAGATTAGCATTCGCATCGCGCATTGTTATGTCTCTGCATAGCCGTTAGTATTTTTTTCATAATTTTCTCTCTCGATATCCGATTTAGATGATTCGAAGTGTGTTAGAAAACTAATTCCAAGCCTACATTATTATTGGAATCGTATTTTTCCAATTTGAATGTCTACGACGCCAAAAATAGGCCTCAATCTCCAACTAAAAATTTGGAGCATAACTTTTGAGGTTGAAAATTAATTTGTGAAAATATTTTAATTATATATCACTCATTTGACTTCCAAACACATTCAAGTAATCCTATACAATCTTCAATCATCCTTTTGTGGTTCAAATCCATTATTAGATGTTTGCACTTTGGTTCCCGAACTTTAGATTTCTTCCATTTTCCCTCGTTTCTCGTTTATTTCTTTCAATTCCACCAATTTTGCATTGAGTTCAAGCTAATAAACACAATCAACACATAATTAAATTATAATTCATCCAAATTATTAACAAATACTCCAATTTAATGACCTATCATATTATTTGAGTTTCAAATAAAAAGGCAAACCGCATTTGATGGTGAGCAAATTGAAGGATTCCTTTATAAATCTTTATTTGAGATTTCTGGTGGGAACAAGAATTTTTAACAACTATCTTACATTTAAGAAACATCAGGTGATTTCCAATCAAGTCTAGAATTTTACTTGTAATTTAAGACAATATGCTCCCGTTTGGTCCCATTAATTTTGATTATAATTGGGGAATAAATTTTTTTTTTTAATGGATGGCTGTAAAAAAATATAAAAATTTCGATATATGTGTAATATTATTTTATTGAAGATGACGTGGTTAAAAATAGGATAGATAAAATTTTAATTTAATTTGATGATATATAATGGGGGTCAAACGGGAGTCATATCTATCAAAGAAAACAATAATAGCCCTTGTTTGAGCCACATTATTGGAATGGAAATACATTTTTGAATAATATATTGAAAGAAAATGTGAGGTTAAAAAATAAGTAAATATTTTGAATTTGCGTGTAATATTATTTTATTAAAGAATATGTGGTTGAAATGATGCCAAATCACTGTTGAAGAATGTATTTTTTTTTCCCAAATAATGTGGTTTAAACAAGGCCATAATCCATTATATTTTGATTCACTCAATTATTTGTGTTAAACTTAATGTGGACAGCTATTATTTTCGTCAAGATAAAATGAATTATTAGATTCAATTTGAGAAGCAAATATAGACGTACATGAATTATTAAAATTTGTGTGGAATCAGATTTGGTGGATCAGACTTATTTCAAAATTTTAACTTTTATGACAAAAACACGTCAAGTACACGTGTTTTGTAATCCCATCTATATTATTTTTCATAGTTCTATACAAACAGTTCCTAGATTACTGAGAAATTATTTATATCTAACACTCACATACAGACACAATCAAGGACAATGCATGTTCAATTTTTGTAATCAATGTCCGTTACTTTCAAGTAAGGATGTCAACGAGTCGAATCGAGTCGAGTCAAGCTGACTAGTGAGCCGAAACTTGAGGTTCGAGCTTGACTCAGATAAAGTGAGTGTGCTTTTTTCCGTTGCTCGACTCGAGCTTTTGGCTTGGGCCTTTACGGGCTGAGCCAAGTGGACTCGAATTTTTTACCCCCTTTTTTTTTTAATGGCTGCCTTTTAAGGCAGCAGGCTGCGGCTGCCTTGCCTCTTAAGGCAGTAGCTGTGCTGCCTTAAATGCTAGCCAGCTGCAGCTGCCTCTTAAGGCAGTACTTTGATGCCTAATTTTTTTTTTTTTTTTTTTTTTTTTTTTTTTTTTTTTTTTTTTTTTTTTAGACTCGTGCGCCAGCTTGGGCTCTGCCCGACCTCCCAAAATGAGGCTCGATAGAATCGAGTCTTGAGTCAGGCCGGCTCGGACTTTTCTCGAGCCGAGCTACGAACGGCCCGAGTCGACGAAGCGAATTGCCATCCCTCCTTCCAAGCAAACACGAGTATTAAAAAGTATAATAAAGTCACTTATTCATGTTTAAAAATAGAGGAGTGAACAAACATACTGATGTATTAAAAAAAGATTGGATGTTTTTATATTACTTTTTTTAAGTATCCAATCATACGTTAACACATGTTTCATTTGAATTGGAGCCTAAAGGCCTAGCATGATTGGCAAAAGTTAGCTTTGGAAGCGGATTCGGTGGATCAATGTAAATGTCAAAACCGATGAAAATAGGAAATATTATATTAAACTGACAAGCCATTTGTCTAATTAAAAAGTAAATGTTTGAAGCGGAATTGGTGGATCTATATGTATTATTCAAAATATGAATGATATTTTATTGCCAAAGATTTCAATTTCAAATATAACTTTATGTAAAGAGACATATAGCGGCAGCCGCACATTTAGCCCTTGTTTTAGTCTCAATCTTGTCAAAAAAAAAATATATTTTTAAATAATGTATTAATGAAAAATGTGTGTTTAAAAAAAATCTAAATTTATTTATAATATTATTTAAATGAAAAGTGTATTGTTGAAATAGGTCAAATCAGTATTGAACAATGTCTTTTGATGAAAATAATGGGCTCAAACAAGGCTTATTCTTATTAATCTCTCCACCTCTATCTTTCCCAGACCATCAATACTGGTTGCATTTGTCAATTCACATAATATACAGAAATGGCTCTCTCTTACGAAAATTTGTCACGTCTACTCACAAACCCAGATCTTCTTTCCCATCTGCAAGACTTAAAGCTTGATGAAACAGAACAAACTATTAGCTATAAATGGCACGGACCACATTTTTTTGCCTTTCTCCGCTATGCAACAAAATTGTGCTTGTCCTCCAACTACAAGAGCGAAAGATGCAGTTTTCTCCATTATGCCACAAAACTTTGTTTGTGCTTCAACAAGAAGCACGACAGATTCAATGATCTGTTGAAGAATCTTGATGATTCAGCCTCCAATTGCATCATCTATGGAGAGACTGAATATTACAAAATATTTTTAGAAGTCCTTCTCTCTTTCTTGCCAGAGATTAGGGAGTTCTTCACAGTTCGAAAGCTGCTGCAGTTGTCTGATGGCACTCCCAACGCAAATGAAATTTTGGCAAGCTTTATTGGCTTTCTTGTTGAAACTATTGGAGAATTACTGAATTGTTTATCGGATTCGAGTGATCTGGTGAGTTATCAAGTCAAATTTCTTTTGACGGAGCTGGAATCTCTGCTCAATTTTCTTGGGGATACTGAGCCAGAAAAGAACAACAATATATTGACAGAAATCGAAGCTGTAGCCAACGAAGCAGGATTTTTCTTGCATTCGTTCTTTTTCACCGCCGGTCTCGTAACCATGACAGAAATGGATCTGGCATTTTCTGCTCTGGTAAAAAGGATTGAGATTCTGCAAGTGAGAATCAAAGATCACTGCATCGCAGCCTCAGAGGAGCTGAACTCTGGAAGTGGAAGCCTACAGGTTGCAGAAAATCCAAGGGAAGTATCATCAGAAAGCGGACAATCTGCAGAAAGCCTACAAAGGACTTCCATGGTAGATGAGATAATTGAGGGCTACGAGGACAGTACAACACAAATTCTAAAAAAGCTTCTTGAAGGACCATGCAACCGCCGGATTATCTCCATAGTTGGGATGGGTGGAGTTGGCAAGACGACTATAGCTAGAAAATTATATGATAATACCTATGTTCACAGCTATTTTGACAAGCTTTCTTGGTGTACTGTTTCTCAAGATTATAGAAAGAGAGAGCTATTGTTAACAATTTTGAGCTCCATAAGTAACCTTAAACAAGAAAAACTTTTAGAAATGGAAGATGAAGAGCTGGCTGAACGTCTTTACAGGACTATAAAGGGTAGAAGATACCTCATCGTTTTGGATGATATATGGGATAAAAAAGCATGGGATGATTTGAAAAGGTGCTTTCCAGATGATCGTAACGGAAGCAGAATATTGTTAACCAGTCGGCTGATGCATTTGGATAGAGAAATTTCAGATGAGAACTTTGAAATTACTCCCCTGTCAGAAGGCGAAAGTTGGGATTTATTTGAGAAGGAGGTGTTCAAGAAAGAACGTTGCCCTCCAGAGCTGCAAGATATTGGAAAGCAAATTGTAGCAAATTGTCATGGGATACCCCTTGCTGTAGTGGCGATAGCTTCAACTCTTTCAGGAAAGAAGTCAATGAGCTCATGGAAGCAAGTTCTAACAAGCTTAAGTTCTTTCATTTCCGAAGATGCTAACATTTCTTCCATATTGAAATTAAGTTATGAGAATTTACCAATTCATTTGAAGCCATGTTTCCTCTACTTAAGTGCATTCCAGGAAGGTATGGAAATTCCAGTTCGAAAGCTATTATTACTATGGATAGCTGAAGGATTCATAGTCAAAAAGGAAGACAAGAACTTAGAAGACGTTGCTGAGGAGTATCTAATGGAGCTAATCAGTAGGAGCTTTCTGCAAGTTGCCAAAAGAAGACCTGACAATGGAGTAAAAGTATGTGCTCTTCATGATCTAATACTTGATTCGTGCAGGAAAATAGCTGAAGAAGAAAATTTTGTATTTCAACAGTAAGTTAATTCACTCTCTATCTCTTATCTTCCCGTTTTACTTCTCTTTTCCAATTTAGTCTACTATTACTAACAACATGTGATAATTTGTCGTGATTATGTCAATTATGTTGCTGTTGCTGCTCCTGCTGCTGCTGCTGCTGCTGATGTTGTTAATGCTGATGCTGATACTAATACTGATTGATGTGGTTAAACCAATGATGATCCAATATGTTCTTCAGTCAATTCTTAGTATCAAAGTATCGCTCCCGCTTGGAGCAGTCTCATTTTACCGAGACCTTGTCCATTCTTCACGACCCTAAAAAAATTAGGATATTGGAGTCGGCCAGTGATCTAAGTAGAATCGAAACTTTGACTGAGTTGAGGTACTTAGAAACGTCTTCAAAATTAACATCGTCAATTGGCAGACTCCAGAACCTAGAATTTCTTCTTGCGGGAAGGACAACTAATATACTACCCAGATACCTTCTCAATTTGCCAAAGTTGAGACATCTTCATGTTGGAGGCCCGGCAAGATTCAGTAAGACTTGTGAAATCTCCGGAACAAATAGCCTACAAACCCTTTCTTTTATTTGTATTTTTGATTCGAAAGACGAAGAAATCTTGAAATGTTCACCAAATCTCCGTAGCCTGAATTGTGCAGTTTTAGCCAAAAAGTGTCCCCGTCTCAACTTTCTTTCTCTGCTTGAATCGCTGAAAATAGTCTTTTACGGTAGCTTCAAAGGTGATTTCACAGTGCCTAACTTCCCCATGAATATAAAAAAGCTCACTCTTTCTAATCTGGGTTTGCCTTGGGAAAAGATGTCATTAATTGGGACATTGCCCAAACTCGAGATTCTGAAATTAGAAGACGAAGCCTTCGAAGGAAAAATCTGGAACACAATGGATGATGAGTTCCAAAAGCTCAAATTCCTTAAATTAGATAACCTAGATCTTGAACAGTGGAATTCCTCTTACAATCATTTCCCCGTACTTGAACAATTGGTTTTGCGATACTGCGATAATTTGGAGATGATTTCTTCCGAATTGGGATATATTCCAACACTTTCCAAGATTGAGGTACATGCTTGTGGCATAAATGTCGAAAATTCAGCTATAAAAATTCGTGAAGAACAACTGGCATACGGTAACGAAGAGATTCAGGTGATCATCTTTAAGGAGATTCTCTAGTAAAGAGAGTTATGCTTCTATTGGCCTTGACACAAGTAAGTTGAAGCTCAACTCGTTCTTTCCTTTTATTTTTTGAAAGAATTTTTTTATTATTTATTTGAATAAGCCTTTTTTTTTTCCTAGCAGGAGATTCTTTGACATCCCACAAGGGAAAGAAAATATATATTTTCCTGGCTTCGTGTCGCTAGTGCTTGTTCTAATCAGTTATTTTTTTCGTAGTGTACCAGAAGTTGAGTCCTTTTTGTTGCAAGAAAAATGAAATAATGGCCCGATTGGCAACTGTACTATTTTATGATGAATTGGACGAGTGATTGGATCTGAATATCTAAGCCTATAATCTTTTGCCTTTTAACCTTCTTTTATTAATTTCTTTCTTTCTTTTTATGTATGTCCTTACAGTCGTACGGTACTGTTTTTTGCCAACGTAAACCATTGCACCAAGTTCAAATGTGAAATGAAATTCGGTTTCTTTCGTATATTTCATATCGTTAATGTTTTTTGTGTCTTTTTGCTTCTAAACTTAGAAGTATCTGAAATTAAGCATGATTTGATAGACAATGGAAATCAAAAGCCAATTGAATATATATAGTTCAATGGCATGTAATCCTTTGTTTATATGCCAGTGAAACAGCACAGCCCATATGACATTAAATTATTGTTTAGGATTCAAATGAGTGGGAAAGGCCACTGCCGGCGAGGGCGAGGTGGTTGTGGAAGAAGACGGTTACGAGGAGGTTGTGGATTTGGTTTTTGGTTTAAGAGGGGTGGGGAAGGGATTTTGGAGTTAATTTGCAGAAAGCATTTTTTAATATCATATGAGTAAGGGTTTGATTGGTAATTTTCAAGTCTCTTAACATGTAGAAAATTTTAACTGTCATGTCACCTTCCGTCTTTCACATAGACACAACCACACAAGGAATCCAACGGTGGCCAATTTAGTGCAATACAGTTATGTTTAGTGGCCATTGGGAAGTTTCATTAAATTCAGTAAGTTGTTATGAGGTGTATATTTAAGCCCTTATTTGAGCTCTATTCTTGTAAAAAAATACATTTTTGAATAATGTATTGATGTGTAGTTTAAAAATAAAGAAAAGTTTTGAATTGGTGTATAATATTAATTTATTGAAGAATGTGTGGTTGAAGTGAAGTAAAATCATTATTGAAAAATGTATTTTGATAGAAAAATTGAACTCAAACAAGGGCTAAAATGCCAATGAAACATTCAACTCAGAAAATAGAAGATGAAGATTTGGGGAGTGGGTTGGGTGTGGGGCATATTTCTTTTTTGTTTTGTTTTTAGTTTAATTATTTTAATTGTGGATATTTGAAAAAAAAAAATGAATACTCTTTTCTTATATTAAAGCATGCAAAATTATTCCTTATTTTAAAGCATTATTGAAGCAGGTACGCCTATCACTATTTTGGACCAAGCCATTATTTAGGGTGACAACTTTTTTCTTCCTTCTACACATCTTTTCTAATCTTATTCAAAAAGCAAAAGCAACCACCTTTGATTGTTGATGTGAAAGCATATGAAATTATGAGAGAGAGAATGGACCTTTGCTATGGCTTTATTGTTTGAAAAATTTAAAGAGTATTCACTCTTGAAGATGATTGGTATATATGTAGGGGTTCTATCTTTTACACGTCTTTTCTAATTTTATTCAAAAAGAAAAATCAACCACCTTTGCTTGTTGATGTGAAAGCATATGAAATTATGAGAGATAGAGAATGGACCTTTGCTATGGCTTTAGTGAAAAATTTAAAGAGTATTCACTCATAGGAAAATGATTGGTGAACAGGATAGAATCCCTATCAACATCTCACATAGAGGGATGGGCAATGGGATGGGTTAATTTTTTGACATTATTTATTCATGTGGAACCTACACCTTTGTGAGTTTTCTGTACACATTTTGTAAAAATAAAATTTGTACACCATTCATTTTTTATCACTCTTATTGATCCGTCTCTCTACCCTCAGTGTTTTGTGCATATCAATCGGTGCTTTAGAAAGTATAAAGTATGGTTAGATGTGAAAGTCATTAACAGATTTATAAGTTCGTGTGTGCTAGGACGGATCGAGGTAAGCATATGGCTACCCAATATATGGAAAAAGATTACCATCGGAGCCAGCAAGGACGATCGTCAGGCTCGTCGAGTGCTGGCTCTACTCCTACGAAAGTCAAGTTTCAAGTTTTACGAGTCTAGACATAAAAAAATGTTATTGTTTTAAATACTTAATCATTCTAAAAATCATTTAATAATTAAAACAATACATACCAAACATTTAAAATTATAAAATACTATATTTACTTAATAATTCCTACAATTAATCAATTATACAATTTTCAAGTTTTTGAAATGCAAAAAAGTCAGACTATTTTTTTTAGTTTTAACTTTCAACTACACTGTCTTAACAAACTTATAGGACTTCATATATACTTTTGATATTTCTAACAATATAATAAGTTTCAAAATCATAATTATATAATATAGATAGCATCTAACTTAAACCATATGTAAATCTTTATCGAATAAAGTTATTTTTGACTTATTTATGATAAAGTTGTTTAAAAACTTGAAAATTAAGTGATCCACTAGCAGCTAACCAAGGTAAAGCGTTCTGCCCACACCTCATGTGTTAGGCGCGCTTTTTGGAACACTAATACCAACAAAACATGATGCATCTCTTTTGCAAAAGTCTATCCATTAGCCAAGACATCTGCAAGATTTGAAGCTTGATGGAGGAGAAAAAATTGTAAGCTTTCATTGGCTCAGACAGCGGTGGACACAGATATTTCGAGTTAGAGGGTACAATCAAACTTTTAAATTAGACAAGTTGATAAATAGAAAAATATAGTTTCTTCTTAACCAAGATCCTTATAGAGAATAATAAACGTTATGACACAAATGCAAAAATAATATAGTAGTTATTAACTGTCCATTCAAAATCATATATTTATTGACCTGCCATGAGTAGTGGCGACATTTATAAGGAAAAGCAATGCCTAAATTTGTTATGCTTTGTATTGGGGAAAGAAACACAACAAAATAACATAATATGTCCTTGAAGGCAAACTTCTAGTCAAGCAAAATGATGCTACCAAACTTCGCATCATTTTTTAAGGGCATAATAAGGTAAATTCTTTGAAAATCCATGTACCCACAATCAAGGAAGGATTAAACTTCTGTTTATATATTGACTTGTTCTTGGGTTCAATCGGTTGAGACATTAAAGATTAAAAAAACAATGGGCATTAGATTTTCAATAGAGGAACGGATGATGAGTTGTAGAAAGCAACAAATAAAGCATATGATAGTAGAACATATAAATTATGTACTAGAAAGAAGCAATTTATATATATATATATATATATATATATTTTTTTTTTTTTTTAACTCAAGTATCCAAGTTTCGTCCGACTAATCTTGAAGAGTGACAGTCTTCTCCTCTAGTTTGCCATCGAGTAAGTTGGATGCGGTCACAACTTCCATGAACATCCCTTTACAATGTGTAGATGGGACCCCAGAGGGGTGATAAAGCGCACCATCCTCCACAAGACTTCTGTCTTCCAAAATAAATGTTTAATTTCAATTGTCATGTGGATTTGAACCCCCAATGCTTCATTTAGAATCCTGCTGCTTTACTATTGCTGCATGCCTATGGGGGCAAAGAAGCTATATTTTTAACCATATACTTGGAGGAGTCTTCATTAAGTTCAACTGATAAGCCGTCGCGAGGTGTAAATTTCAGTGGTCAATAAAACATTTAACTTGGAATATAAAGATGAAGATTTGGGGAGTGGGTTGGGTGATGGGCATTTTTTTTTTTTGGGTTTAATTATTTTAATTTTGGAAAAAAATGAAATTTATTATTTTACCGTTTTAAAATTAATCAAAATTGTAGAAATTGGTCAAATTTTTATTTTTTTGGTCTATTGATGATTAAAGGGATGAAAATCTTCCATTTGTCCTTGTACTGCAATTAAATTAAAAGTAAATGAAAGATTTAAATAAAGTCTACCAACAAGTCAAAGAGTTGGATTTGCAATTGCAATTAATCCTTATTTTAAAGCATTATTTAAGTTGGTGTGCATACCATTATCTGGACCATGTCATTATTTTGGGTGACAACTCTTTTCTTCCTTCCACACATCTTTTCTAATTTTACTCAAAAAGCAAAAGCAGCGACCTTTGTTTTCTAATTATATTTAAAAAGCAAAAGCAACAACTTTCGCTTTGTTGATTTGAACGCATATGAAAATATAATGTACGTTTTCTATGGCTTTATTGTTTGAAAATTTTTAAAAAGTATTCATTTTCATTAATTTGTCTCTCCGTGGTTAGTGTTTTATCCATATTAATCAGTGTTCTAAAAAACGTAAAACATGATTAGACATAATTTATCTCTAATATTCCAAAATAACTATACTTTTTTTTTTCTTTTCTATCAATATTTTTATCCCCTTGAGTGTTCACCAAACAAGGGTTTAATGAGGCAGTTACATTCAAAGGGAGTTGTAAGTAATATGGTTATTAGTAAATGACAATAATATTCTTGAAAACCTAGTTATTATTACCATTGTATCTCTTGCCATGGGCGGATGTAGGGGGTAGCTGTACTAGGCTTTAGCCCAGTGCAGCCTTCGTCCATAAAGTAATTGTGCTTGTAAATTTTGTCCAAAAAAATTATACCTCAGCCCAAATTTGATGTTAGCCCACTAGCTACCCTATTCAATATTTACCCACTTTACCCCAACTTAAATGGATCAAGTTTAAATCCAATATTTGTATAGCCCATATACCAATTTATTTTCCTCAAACTTGTTGCATCCCAAAGGACCCAAACCCACCTTACCTAATTCAAAACCCTTACCTACACCCACAGGTTCCATTATTTTAGGAAGCAACCAAGGATCGAGCTCCATTTAGCCCATGTTTGGGCCACATTTTAGGGGAAAAAATGTATTATTCATGTCAAATCAACGGGAAATTTGTGGTTAAAAAATAAGGAAAAATTTTAGATTTGCATGTAATATTATTTTATTAAAAAATATGTGATTGAAATGATGTCAAATCACAATTGAAGAATGTATTTTTTTAAAATATCTGTATTTGTGCGGCTTTATCTATATATCATATATGTATTTTATATGTTTAGCATAAATCAAGTCATTCAAAAGAAAAATGTATGAATTTAATTATGTTACCGCATTTTCCGTTTTTATTTTTAAACACATTCTTGGATTATTACTTGTTGCGGTTTTGAGTTTTATTGTGGGTATGTTTTATTTTTCACATTCGAAGGTTCAAATCCATTTTTTTTTTATATGTTTATTAGTGTTTATGGCTTCATGTCTATATCATTACTTTTCAAGAAGAATATGATTCCGATGGGATTTACCTTTTAATCTAAATCTCATCGGCATAAAACATTTTTTATGGTATGAATTCATTGGAAAAAAAATTAAACT